TTTAATCTAATTTTAATAAAAAAATTATAATAAAAAATTAAATTAAATAAAAATTAATCCTTTAAATGGAAAAGAGAGGAAAGGAAAATTATTATTATTATTTTTTGTTTAAATTACTATGAAATTGACCAAAGTGGGATTAATTCAAGAGCGATTTTCTCAGAAACCGTTAAAGATAACGATTTGAAACAAGAGTACCTTTTTAACGTAAAACAGTTCGGGAAAACGGAATTTGCTGTCCAATTTGTTAAAAAGTCAAAGATGAAAAAGTTACACACGCAAAGTTCCAAGGGCCCCCCCGTACCCACCCCAATGGACCTTGTGGAAATAAATAAATTCATCAAATTTCTCATCAAAATTTAGCTGTGTATACCAAATTTCATTCATTTATCACAACGCGATTGAGAGATATTGCAAAAAAAATGATTTCCATTCCTCCCTCTTCAATGGGTCCCTGTGCCCTTAGGAAGCATTTCCGGACCCATGTTTCAAATGAACTTTTTTATTTAGTTTTGATCATAGAATCGGCCTGTTCAGTGTTGGCAGCTAATTATGAGACACCCTGTATATGATTCTGATTTCTGGGGAAGCTTGGATATATTCGAAATTACTTCGCTTTCAGAATCATGTTTGGTTGAAAATTAATGCCTGTACAGAGGTTTAAAGTTCATAACTTTTGGAGCCTCCGTTATAAACAAATTGAATTGTGCCAAAACTATTTATTTATTTATATTTATTTATAAAGGCTAGTGTTACATACACATAAAAGTGTTTACACGCGTCCAAAAAAAAAAGAAAGTGGTAAATAACAATACACATAATGATAGCAATCAACTAACTGTTATACAAATATACATAAAAAACATAGGTATAATTAAAATAAATAGGATAAACGACATACTAAGATTAATGATAACATTCATATTGTCAATAAAATCATCAAAACTATAAAAGGCATTTTTTACCAAGTATTTTTTATCCTTGATTTAAAATTATTTTCATTAAAATTTTGAATTTGTTGAGGTATTATGTTAAAAAATTTGAAGGCCCAATAATTAGTACCGACCCGCGTTTTAGTAAGTCTTAAAGTCTTTAAAGAGTCTTAAAAAAGTCTTTAAAAATCTTTTAAAGTCTTTAGTAAGTCTATTGCACCTAAAGCGCCCACTTTTGGCACACTTTTAAAGTATGAGAAAACCCTCAACTTATAAAATTTTAACAATAAATGCGATAGTTATAAACAAATTAAAATATGGGCACTTTTCTTGTATTTTTTGCAATCTTTCTTGTTTATTAACCGATTTTAATTTAACAAGTCTCATTTTGTAGATAATTTTATTCCCTACATGCCGTCTGAGATTCACTTTTCGCTAAAATTGATGGTTTTCCCTGCAAAGTGAAAAAAACTGTTTTCCTCACTTATTTGTTTAAATAGAAAAGTTAGCTAATAAAATTTTCTGACTCACGAGATGAGAGATGTCTTGTATTATGTTCCTTTAGACAATTTTACAATAATATCGCGGATAGGAATTTTTTTGAGTTTCTCTTTTATTTTCGCTAATTTTCCTGGTGTAAAACTGATGACGGTCATTTTAAGTAATTAACTTAAACATGCAAAACCACTAAAACATTGTATTATACATTTTACGAAATTTTTAATGAACATTATAAATTATAGTTCGTTGTAAATACTCGTATTTAATTTTCTTATTTAACAAATTGCGATTTTATAATAGCGTACGTAAAATAATTTGGTCTTTCAAAATCCGGAAGAAAAAGACTGGGTTAATAAAAAAAATTAAAAATCTGCGCTTTCGAGCATTTTCATAGAATATTTTTAAATTTCGAGAAAATGCATGTTTTCATACTTTTGTTGCTAGCTGTATATAATAATAAATTCTTCTTCCTCTATCTAGGACAGCGTCGCGCTTCAAAGATATTTCCGCTTTACTAAGCAATAATTAAAACGTTCATCTTTATATTTTTTAAGAAATTGTGAAATTAAATTTTCGTCGAGTCACGTTATATCCTGTTACAATTAATGTCGCATCCCGTTTATTCTCATTTTTAAGCAGAGAGCTGCAGCGATTATCGGATCCATTTTTTCAGTAAACACGAGATTAAATGAACAGTTACTTTTTACACGTAAAAATGTTGGTACCGTTTTTCTTTCATTGGACGACTGCCATCCAGGTCTTTAACAAGCTGGCACGTCGCGATGTGGAATCTAAAACAGCAGTATGTGCTGGCTCTTCAGAATTATCCACGCTTATTTGTGAAACTTGATTCATTCATTTTCTGACCAGTAGCCATAAAACAGGTCGGACATGTGCCCCATGATAAAAAGTATGCAGAAACCTTGACCTCTAGTTTGCAGTACTCGGTATGACTATGCAAATATCTAGGTGCCAGAGGAATGTAGGGAAATACACACATACGGGGTGTAACAGATTTGTTGCGACAAACTGTAAAGTTTAAAATAAATTCTTGTAAAGGGTGGTTGATACAAAAAATCTGTTATCGATGTTCCGTCCTCTTCTTTTTAGTTTACTTCGCTGGTACCAAAACATCTTGGCTAACTTGATTAGTTTTAGAGATATACAGGTTTTTTTTTTAAATCGCCCATGTACATTAACTTCTCTATATCCGTTGTCATTAAATTTAGAAGAAAACAGTTTGAACATTATTCGTTCTATTTTTTATGAGGAAGCCATTGGCGTACTCATTTTTTTTACAATTTTCACAGTTTTTCCGATACTACATAAACATAGTTTTTTTTTAAAGTAGAACTGTATTTGGCCATCCCGCTGAATGGCAATGTTTATGTAATATCGGAAAAACTGTGCAATTTGTAATAAATCTGAGTACGCCAATGATTTTCTCATTAAACATATTTTCTTCTAAATTTAATGACAACGGAGATAGAGAGAATGGAAATCGGCGATTTTTCAAAAAAACCCTGTATATCTAAAACTACTCAAATTAGCCAAGATCTTTTGGTACCAGTGAAGTAAACTCAAAAGAAGAGGACGGAACATCGATATCACATTTTTTTGTACCTATCTATCACCGTTTTTGCTGTACCCTATAAAACTATCGCAAATCAACTACCCTGTATATGATCAAAAATCATAACATTTTGGGACGATATTTGAAAATCAGTAGAAAGTGTGAGTGAGATATAACCTAGACAGTATTTGTCATATCTTAAACGTCGTTGCCTATTGATACAAAGCATTGCTGTGTACATGTACATATACAGGGTGTTCCTAAATATTATGTACATAAGGGAGGGGGTACTTCTTTGGCTTATTTCATATAAGTTCATATAAACATAGGTTTGCAAACGCTTCGTTACCGATCTACAGGGTGTTGAAATTTTAAAATTTTTTTAGTTTTTTCTCTATAGCTCCTACAGTTTTTGAGATATTTAGCTCAAATTTATTACCCCCTCCCTTATGTACATGATATTTAGGAACACCCTGTATTCTTTGTAGATTATATCTCACCGACAATTAAAATACATCGACAGATATATATTCAAATAGCTAAATCGTTCGTTAGTTGCCTCATCTGTGAATAGATGAGAACACCAACAATTTTGAAATCGTATGGTGATTCTGCTGACGAATGATTTTAGTTAGATATTGAGGGTGTTATTCAGTGCTGGACGGGGGCTGTCGTTCGCAGAGTAATTGTTTCCCACAAAATAACTATTAGTAAATCAGAATAAAGATTTGCACAAATGACTTCCTGCAAGGAGAATGAAGACAATTTGGTCACTATGTACCAAAATTGTTAAAAAATTTGATAAAAACTAACATAATCTGTTTTTGGGCTAACGTGGATGTCATAGTTTTTTTGAAAGTTGAAATCTTTCAAAATGCAGTTCTAAATTCTCAGTTACATAATGCTCATATTATGCAGCATTTATTTCTCCGTTTTTGTTCTATTTCATATATACAAGGTGTCTCAAAATTAATGGGCAGTAATTTTACTACAAACAAAAGCTACGCGACCACCCCCCCTCGATTTAGTTACTTTTGACAGTCTAAAATTGTTTAAATAAAGTGATGTGTTATTTGTATTCTCTTCAGTGTTCGATTATTGGTTAGGTAAAACTATTTTCATATAAAAACAATCCTTGATCCATCCGTCTGGCACAAGGGTTTATTCCATTAATTTTAAATTTTTTTCACAGTTGGAAAAATAGCCAAAAAATAAAGAAAATTCACGTCTAATCGTTTTAAAATGTTAACAAGGTATTTCTTGGAGCCCCAAGCTTTTTCCGACTCATTTCCGACTGTATTTTGATTTTGTATTGCAATTACCTTTTTTGTGCTTACGCTCATGTCAAACTTAGTTTTAAATCAAAACTAATTTTAACTTTACTAAGTACTTTTTAATAACAACAAACATATTGCATTACTGTTAGTATACACACCCATTTCAATTCATTCATGAAATCAAAATACGATTGTTTATATTTCTTAATTGCAACAAGGAAGAATGAGAATCAACACCGGAAAAAATAATTAATTATAATAAACAAACATCAAGATAAATTAATATACTTTTATGAATGGAAGTTTGGGGACACTAGTCAACTATACCTACAAATTAGAATGTCGATCAGGATACTGAACGTCATATATTAGAAGCTTAAGAAATGAAATTCAAGAAGTATAAGTAACAATCGTGATGGTATTTTGAAAAAAATATCAATGTTTCAATCAATTCAAAACATTTATAAATGTCCATTTGATAATTTTAATTTTTATTACTATTTAAAATTGTGGGTGACTGAATATGCACGTACTTTAATATAAATCATTTCAAAATTAAAAATAATCGCTTGCGACTTGCGGAATTTATCCTTACCCGAATACTCATATCTGTATTGTTTACAAATATAGCAATAATGACCCTATTTTATTCGTTGATTTCACTCACCATTCCGAAAGTGTAACCCTGTTTGATTGTTTCAAATATTTTCTTCGTAGTATTAACCATGAAGCTGTTGGTGTGTTTGGCTTTGGTAGCCTTTTTCTCACAAGTCAAATCGTTCAGCGGGAGCGAAGACAGATTCATCAAAAAGTACGCGATGATGAAGGTGAGTGTTTCTTTTTCTATTAAATATTGTGGTGGTTAACTGTGGCTTGATATTTTAAAATATGTATTTCGTACAATGTTGAAACGAATCATTGCTAAATAGATGTTAATTTTTTTGGATCTATTATAGGCAGTGCAAGCATGCGCCAATAATATAGTGATTTGTTTTTGGAATAATTTAAGGAAAAAAGTTTCTTATTCGTAGGAATTTCTTTCATATAGGTGTTTTAGACGGTTTAAATTTCGAGATACAGGAAGTCATTTTTGAAAAATCTCACATCTGCCTAAATATCGAAAGATGTTTAAAGTAGATTAATGAAATTTGAACTGGTGACTACGTAAAATAAAAAAATTGTTAAATTTATAAACAATTTAAACAATCAGTGGTTTAAACATTTTTTAATTGTACTTCAAAGAAAAATATCTTTTTCATTTTATTCGAAAAACGAGTCATTTTTGGGTTATTATTATTTCTTTTGTCTGAAATAAAATGTACAATACAGTTGAATAAATCGAACTATAAAACTTCGTTTCATTTTTTGGGTAGTTGCAAATAGAGTTTTAAAAATCAGTCATAAAAAATTTTAAAAAATCATTGACGTAGAACTTTCTAACTTTTTAGGGGTAGAAAGAGATAAAACTCTGCCAATATATTTTTTAAATTTTTAATTGTGTTGTATTTGTATCGTCAACAGAAAAGTTGTGCATACTTTATTGGTAGTAGTTAATAACCTCAGAATTATTTTTAATTTATTTATATCTCGTTTTTTGTTTTTGAATAAATTAATAGGAAATATGCACTGGCATCAAACTCCTATCTCTGGTTGATATAATTGTGAATTATTATTTTAATTTAGTTAAGTCACAAGTTTGGTTAACCTACGTTAGAAATTATGCGAGATATTTACATAAATATGACAATATTAAAAAAATTTAACACACAGTGTCTCGGAAACCATTTAGGGCACTATAGGAACTTTAATTCCAAAAATAATATAAATAATCATCCTTTTTATTGTCAGCAACATACCTAAGGACCACCGTGTTTCTAATTCTAAAGCCGACGGTACACATAAAGTTAATGTGCAAAGACAAAAAATGAAATATGAGACATTAACTATTTTAAAAAAGGAAAACTAATCTAATAAATTAATAACAACTTTGATGGTCGTAAATTACACGTACCATTAAAATAAGAAGGATACGTTTCTCTAGCGTATAACAGACGCATCTGATGATTTCGAAACGCCGAAGGAAATATTTAACGACGGTTTTACTAGAATTGTTTCCCATGTTGGAAAAAGTTAATTGCAAAGGTTTAAAAGCCAACCGCTTTACTCGAAACTTAAATTCATCTTTCCAAACTGCCATCGCATTAGGTATTTTACTTAATGATGATGACTGTAGCTGTTTCTGAGACATATTACAATGTAGTTCGTATCCCGTAAATTCTGAGTGAACGAGATGTGTTTACCGCCTTTAATCACTCATGAACAGCATTGAGATGTTTACTATCTTTCAGTTAATAGTGCAGATGTACAGAATAAGTTATTAACTATTTATTATGCTTTAAATTTATTGGCTTTTCGCTTTGAATTCGTAGGAAAAAAATAATAGTAATTAATAAAACAATCTTTCACATATCAACTACATCAAGTTTTAAGCAAATGCAGTTGAAGAATAATAAGAACATTATTTAAATTTTAATTTTAATATTATTTTTCATATAATAATAGTTTGGAGTTAGGTAAATCTTCTAAGATTTATAGTCAAAGTTATTTGAACTTTTAATAGCTCATAAAGTTATTCAGAAATATGATGATAGTTTCGATACTATTAACATTAGAATTAAAATATATGTAGGTGTCTAAGTTAAAGTCTTCTTACATATTTTAAGAGACACAGAAATGGTTAAATAAGCAAAATTGTGCAGAATTTTATGAGGGATTCGTTTTAAAATTTAGAAATTTTTGAATAGTTCCGAAGACATTCGAAGAAAACCAATATATATGCTATTTCTTTTTTTAGTCGCATTTCACTTGTTTATTAGAATTTTTGTCCAACAATTTTGAAAAACAAGTGAAATACAACGAGTGATAGCATAAAATCGGGTTCCCTCGAATATCTTCGAAACTATTCGGAATGTTTTAATTCAAAAACGATTCTGTGATCGGCATAAAATTCTGCACATTTTTGCTCATTTAAAAATTTCTGTATCTCATAAAATAAGAAAAATACCTGTATTAATTATTACAACCCTAAAAATGTATATGTACTTGAAAGTTTCTACATTTCTATAGAGTATTAGCTCACATTTAATCCATAATCTCCATCGACCCTCCATTTTTATGTAACTTGCGCATACGGTGGTAGTCCAACCCATTATTTGAAACGTATAGCAATAAAAAATATGCAACGCGTTAAAAAATTCCGTTTTGTCACTTACGAGGTTTATTTCTAGATCTACGAAAGTTGTTTCGGAGAAGACGTGGTGAAACAAATCAGGAAGGAACTGAAGCTGGCCTGCGCAAAATGCGCCTCTTTGTCTCCCCCTTCAGAAGCACCGACCACCACCCCTCACCCAGAGGAAAAGCCCCAAGAGGACCACATAGGACCGAATTCGGTATACCACAGTCAACCTACTCTTGACGTTGAGAAATTGCATCAAGCAATTTTGGCCTTCAGACCAGTGAGTAAATCTTCGAACTGGTGGTGGACAACAGATACACATGTTTTGTTTCATAGTTTTGACGCTCTTGTTATTCTTTTCATTATTTTATTAATACTATTATCTATTATTATTACTAGTTTTGAAAATGTGCTGTATTGGTAATCTGCATGGATCCGTTTTTAATGGTATAAGGGAGAAAATAATATTATTTCAATTCAAGGGTTTTCAATCCGTATAAAACTCAAATTATTTTAAATTTGACGATATCTTTTCCAACTTTGCTTGATGTAAATGACAAAAGTATCTCTTTAATTCAGATATATATGTAGATTGTCTTTTAGCTAACACTTGTTCTTGTATTTGGGTCTTTTTATCATCTCGATCTATATCATAAAGTGCATAGAATGAAGAAGAAATCTGCGATTAATTTATTTATTATTTATTTTATTCTACAAAGAAAAGTTTTCGTTTCTTTTTATTTCTTATAATAAATAAAAACAGCATTGTCAGAGTTAAAGTTTCTTCAGAAAAAGACAATCTATATATTTTATGACATGTAAGTAGGGGCAAACTTCTTAAACATCGTTGGAATTTATTTCAATTTTTTTTAGAATGCCGTACCCCAGCCATCTTACAGACCTTATGGCGGAATCGGTCCAGCTAGCTTTTACAATCCACCCATGGCAAACCCGGGATACCCAGCACCCATGTTTTATCCCGGAATCCAGCAAATACCATTTTCGCCATATTCCTTCCCCATGATTGGACAACAGTACTTTGGAAGCAGGATAGCGGTAAGGATGTTACGACAAAGTAAAAAAATAATATAATTGAAGAACATTGATACATTTTATACAGGTCGTTTTCTCAGTCCATCAGTTTGTGTTGAAATTGAATAAAATAGGTCATAGTTATTTAAATTTCTCTGAATATATTTGACTAATTAAAGCGTAAGAATTCGGTGAACTAGAATACAAATCTGTCAATCAATGATTACTCCAGTCGAATTACAGTTTCAAAGTAAAAATTATTGATAGATATTTTATTGTATTTCATGACGGGGGGAAGAGTAAGAATGATAATATCAAAAAAGTAACTTGAAAGAAGTAACGCTAAGTTGGCAAATTGTAAATAAGTACAAATTTACGTGTTTTTTCACTTTTTTTACTACCCACGAAAATCCAGACGACCTATCGGAAAATTAGTCATTTTATGTTGTAGGCAGTTAAATTACCTACAATTTAAGGTATCTAGTCATATTTCATTTTGTTAACTGTAAAATAAAGGTCAAACTCGGAAAAATAAGTTTTCGAAAATTGCACATTATTATTACAGAAAGTGAATATTGATGAAATTTATGGAAAAGACGACTAGTCTAAACACCAACATATGTGCCAAAGGCTAATTCGATTGACAGTGAAATTGTTGCTCTAGATATTTGTTAATCAATTTCGTTCGTTGTTCTGCAACTAATTGTTTATTTTCTAAACGCTAACGTTCAAGTAAAAAATCTCGCGCGACCGAGAGCGGAGTTCACGCGCCTGTGCGGGCACTGCGCTCCTTCTCCCATGTGCAGGTAACATTAACTTTTATCGCTGCTAGCGCGTTTATTACATGAAGTATCAATGTAAAACTTTCTGAAAATAAAAGTTTAACCCTTTCTTTATTTGTCTCCAAAATTCCAGCCTGATACGTCCAATAGTTAATTAACAAATAACGTTACAAAAAAAGCTGTCTTGGGAACAAAGAAGCGTTATTGATTTATCTTTTTTTAAAATTACCATAAAAATAAGCTCAATTTAATTCAAAAAGAGCGCATTCCCGAGCGGTTTTTGCCTGGGGCAATTTGTTTATAATGCTGTTTTGCACATCCTACTTTGTTAGTTGTAAAGGACAACTTAATTTCAACTTTTTAAATTTTTCTCTTTCGATAAGTACGTTTCTTTGGATCCATTAAAACCTATATCAACGGTATTAACTTATAAAATTAACGTTTAATAATTAAACAATTAGTTGCAAAAAAACAAACGAAATTAATTAACAAATAGCTGGAGCAACAATTTCACGGTCAATCCAATCGGAGTTTGGCACACATGTTGGTCATTGAATTGACCGTCAATTCCGTAAGTTTCATCCATCAATCGCTTTTTGCAATAATTATGCGCAATTTTCGAAAACTGATATTTCCGCGTTCGACCTTTATTTTACAGTTAACAACAAATTAGTGAAAAGGTAGGTATCTTAAAATGTGGGTAATTTAATTGCTTACAACTTACAACATAAAATAACTAATATTCCAATAGGTCGTCTACATTTCCGTCGGCAGTAAAAAAAGTGAAAAAAACACGTAAATTTGCCACTTATTTACAATTTGTCAACTTAGCGTTCACTTAATTCGAGTTACTTTTTTGTTATTATCATTCTACATACCTTTCCCAGTCATAAAGTGCAATAATATGTCTACTAATAATTTATTCAAGTTTTCAGGCTTTATAACCCAATTCAACTGGGGTAAATGGACATACTGAGAACCCACCTTAGATATACTTTTCTATCTAAGAAAAAAGATGTCTTCCATTTTAGTTTGAAAAAGGGCATTTTTTGAGCTTTTGTTTTTTAAAATAAGTAAAGAGAAGATTATATCTAAAATAACCGTAATAGGAAATAATGGAAATAGTAAAAGGGCTTATAATAAATCTAAAAAAAAATAAATCGTCAGATTAATTTTTTTAAATATATCGCTGCTATTTTTATGACAAAATCTAGTCATTTTTAATTCTGTATTAGATGATATTACTATTGTAATCGCTTAAAAAGGTTTTTACCTATTATTAAAAATTTTTCCTGAGTACGGCTCTGAACGTTTTCAAAATGTCTGTATCTATTGGAGGAGAGAGAGAGAGAGAGAGAGGAGAGAATAAAAGTCAATACAGCACAAAATATTCAACAATTTTTTTAATCCATAATTTAAAAAGTACCTAATAAAAAAATAATACGAATTTATGAAAATTTTATTATTTCTAATTAGTATTGCTAACAGTAGTAAAAAATTGTTGTATATTTTGTGCGGTATTGATTTTTATACTGTTATGACTTCATCCAATAGATATTTTGTAAGCGTTCAGAGTCGTACTCAGGAAAAATTTTAAATTATAGATAAAACAAGCTAAAAACTTTTTAAGCGATTACAATAGTAATATTCTCTAATTTAGAATTAAAAATGACTTTAAATTTTGTGATAAAAATAGCAGTGACGTATTTAAAAAAAATAATCCGACGATGGTCCCTCGAAAGCAAAACGTCGGATTGCAAAAATGTTGACGCCACGCCATTGTATAGAGCGAAAAAAGTGTCATTGCAAATATGTAATTTATGTTAAAACTCGTTTTCAAATAAAGCCAGAAAAAAATTAAAAACAATTTAGCAAATTTTAGGGTTTTTCTGAATATTTCCGGAACTACCCGGAATTTTAAAACTTTCTAAACAGCATATTGTTAGGTATAAAAAACACAACTTTTTTCTAATCTGAGCCACCCAGTATATTTTACCGTTTCCTAGATCCTAATGCTATCCCATCCTTATCTTGGACACACTGTATATCTATGAATTCATCAAACTTTAAAAAAATAAGTACACTAATCGATCCTACGGAAAAAAAATTATATATTTATTCACTATTCGACTTATGTTTACAGCAATACTGTATAAAAATAGTTTTAGGTCAAACAATGAGACAGGTTTTTTTTTTAATTTTTTCCGTACAATTGAATGGTGTAATCAGTTTTTGATTTTTATTTAAATTTAAACAAATTAACAACAATTACTGAAAATTTCATTGCTGCAAGTCATTTTTTACTTTTTTTATTTTTGAGCATGATTTTGAATTGTGATTGCAAATTTTTGTATTTCACCAAAATGTATATGTCAAAAGGAAAAAAATGATTACCGGCAGAACTCTGTAGGTACGATAATTTTTTTAAGTAGAATTTTTCTTTGAAAAAAGTGTTTCAGGCCGAAACTTCTCGATTTTTTTATTTAAAAAAATTTGAGGTTATTTAAGACAGAGAAAGGTATACTTTCATCAAGTTTTGTCAAAATTAAATTATTTTTGCGGAAATGAGAAATAAAAACCAAAAAATCAGAAAAAAACTTGTTTTTCGCATTTTTCTCGGAAATTTTGAGGTTATGTTAAAAAATTACTTCTATAAAAGTAGATTTTTGCATGATCTACAACTTTTGTATTAGATACTTTTTTGTTTGACGTCAACTTTCGCCAGAAATTCCAATGATACAATTTTTCATAATTTTTCAACCCCGCAAATCAACCCTCCGCCGCCCCTGCTCACGCATTTATTTTTTTTTCGTTTATTATAAGCCCCTTTACCATTTCCACTTATAAAAGTCCAGGCAACAATTTATTTTTTTCTCCTCTAAATGAGTTAATTTGATCGGTCTATAAAGCTATTTGTTTCATAAAAAATCAGGAGGTGAAAAGACTGGCTCTTGTAGGGATATGGAGGTACTTATTCACATTGCTTTAAATGCCATATTCTTTGAGATATTAAATTTCCAGATCATAACTCTAGAGATTTAAAGTGTCGAAGCGTATCTTCAGCATAGGCCTTTTGGTTTCAAATGATTCAAAAAGCAACCTCCTGGAGTTATGATATAGATTCAAACCCTATACATAGTGGTTCAATAATTTCCGGGCTGTTGCCACGTCATCGGTTTAGACTTCCTGCCGTTTCGAAAGACATACCCCTCTCGTCTTTAGAAAGAAGTCTAAAACGACGATGGAAATTATTCAACCATTGACAACTGTCGCGGAAGCTTGTAAGCCACTTTATACGCATTATGGTTATTATCCGTTTCAGAGAGGAATGGACTTCAAGAGCCAGCTGGAATCCATCCCGTCCAGGCTGCACGGCAAATTTAAGAATGTGAGTTGCGTGATGCAAGAGCTCGGCTATCTGGACGACAACTACGAGCCAAATTACGTGAAGATCAGCGAGAGGATCAGCAATTTGCCCGTGAGCGAGGAACTGCGGCGCGACATGCAGGACGGGGTCACTTTCTGCCAGCAGTTCTCGGTGAGCATGGATGAATCGATTTATTACGCGTATGTATGCGGTACTCGTTATCCGTACGGGTACCAGTTTCGGCGTTGGGGCAGGTTGTATCGGGGAATAGTCCAAGAGAATTAAGCTCAAAACCTTCGAGATATGGCTGTTGCTTGACGTAGATTAAATATTAGTAAAAATCGGTCGAAAATATAAGGTTGCGCCAAGAAAAAAAGTTGTGCTATTCGCAGAAAAAATTAAAAACTGCAAAAATACTCAAAAATCACGTGTTTTTCCTAACATTTTCCAATATAACTTCTTAAATATGCAGTTTACAGAAAAAACTATTACTGCTGAAATTGTTTGTTATGAAATTTGCTATAAGACACAATTGTTTTGAGACCTGCGTATTCAATATTTTTGTTGCTAGAAAGCCAAAACAGCGTAAGAAAGTGATGAAAATCGAGGTAATTTTGAAGCGTTCAACTGATAGGTAAGAAATTGTCCAATTCTACTATAAATGTACATGTAAGTACTTTAAAGGATTACAAAACGAAATTCCAAAACCCGATCGAAATCGGTCTGATAGTTTTGGTATGAGACAATTTGTTACTAAATTTCAGCGCGAAATGTCGTTATTTTTTTGCGTCAGTGCTGGGGTTAAAGTTAGGCATTTTAATTGGCGCTGATTTTTTTACACATACTTGGACTCTTTAACTATCATATAGAATCGTTATAATATTAATTTTCTTTTTTTTAATAATTTTTGGAGCGATTTTAAAAATTCGAAAAATTTTAACTTTATAAACAAATACTTTCGTGAAGCCGTTTTGCGGGTTGGAATATATACCAAAGTACTAAAAAATAGTTCTCGGAAAGACGCTTAACTTGAAAAAAAGAACGTTCAAATCGGTCACATAAGTTCCGAGATATCAAGTGTCAAAGTCAACAAGCGTTAGCTGCAAAACTATGCATAATGTAACAACAACAAAAATTGAATTTGGTAGGTTTTTTAAGAACTTTTCGTATGTGCTTTTATAAATATTATCGCACGTGTGCTTTTTATATGAAAATTCAATGAATATCGCCAAACCGACCATTTGAGCCGCAAAACCGGGGGGAGGGGATGAATTATAGAAATTGAAATCGCGTTCAAAAAGAGCGCGCGCGCTTCGGCGTTCAGTATCTCGGCTTCTATGGCTCCGATTTTGATGATTTTTTTTTAAATCGATGTAGAAAAATGAGAGGAATTCAATTATCAAGGTTTCATTAAAATATTATAAAGCCCTTTTCGGTCTATTACGACTAAAAATTTTCCACATTTCGTTGTTATACTGTATATTCATGTAAATAATAATATCGATGGTAGGATATAGGTACATAATCCACTGTTACTAGGTTTTAGTTTTAATAATTACATGGTAATAATGTTTAAATAAAATCTTGAAATCTTTATTTAATATGTAATTTATTTATTGTATTCATATAATATAGAAAAAAATATAGATACAAATAATTATTTATTTATTTTTACAAAACGTGTTTATTATACTTTCATAATTATCGTATTATTAAAGTTTTTCACTTTTTTACATCATTGGTATTTTCACTTATAATATCAGCATTTGAATAAGTATTGTTGTCCATTATTTTCAAATCAGTGCTTAACTAATTGTAAGTAGGTACCACTGTTAAATTAACAGCAAATAATGACTTATGGTTGGTTAATTTGATTTTTTAAATTTGCCAGCAATTTCATAGCCATCCTCGCAAGAAATTGGATCATTTTATTTATCACAAAATCCGTCAAAAACAGAAAAATTAAAAGATAGGTATAGGGAGGTGTAATATGGATAGATGTGGAGTAAATTTCTACAACAGATTTTTATTAAATATACAGGGTGTCCCATTTAGAAAAACCAAGTTTTGGCGGTTCGGTCAATCAAATTCGACAATAAATATGAAATTGAAATAGGTCGAAGACCATTAGACCATTAGAGATACATATAGGGAAGCTTTATAAAAGTCCTCTAAAAATATGCGTAGAATTCAAATATACAAAAATATACAGGATGTTCCATTTATAATAAGCAAATAGGTGGCGACTACCGGTATAACCGGAAGTACTACAACAATGGCATTATTTTATTTAAACTCTAAATAAAACCTCCAAAACCACCAGGTCAAAAATTTTCAAAATTCAAATCGAAGTAGTCTCCGAAATATTCTAATGGGTCGTCACCGCATGACAGCCTGTATAATGAATTGCAAAGTGCGATTTTTAATTGTTTACTAAAGGAAGAAATTTTTGAGAGCGAAATCAGCAACTATGCTATAAAAAAGCTTAATACATTTTTTAATAATGCGATGATACGTTTTATAAATATCAAATAATAATTATTTGTATCTGCATTTTTTTCTATTTTATATGTAAACAATAAATAAATTACATTAGGACATAAAAATTTCAAGATTTTAAACATTATTACCAAGTAGTTATTAAAATTAATACCTCTTAACAATAGTCATCGATATTATTTACATGAATATACAACAATGAAATGTATGAAATTTTAAGCAGTCGTAATAGGCTGATAAGGCTTTATAATATTTCAATGAAATCTTGATAATTGAATTCCTCTCATTTTGCTATATCGATTTAAAAAAAATCATCAAAATCAGAGCCGTAGAAGCCGAGATATTGAACGCCGAAGAGGGCGCGCTCTTTTTGAACGCGATTTCAATTTCTGGTTGTCTGTTTTCCACTGGTTGTCGCAAGGAAGTCAGAAAACATTTTTCCAATAACCAACCAACATGTTTAGAGAAGACTTTTTTATTCTTAGTTATGGCTGGTTTATACTGAAGTCCTTGGAAAAATGTAAGTGTCTACACTCTACAAAGTGTCCCACCTCGTACTCCATCGATGGATATCTTGGAAACCGCTTTAAGGATTTTTTTTAAATTGTGGTGGTGTGATACGGACCGTGACGCCCACCAAGTTAAAATATTTTCTTATTTTAAATGGAACCCCCTGTATATTATTGCATTTTTGGAAACATCATCCATTTTTAAGTTGAAAACATATAGCACACTCCGAGATATTTCGATTTTTAAACAAAAATTGACAGATGCACTGTCAGCAAAATTTAGTTTTCCCGGTTTATTTTTTTGTGCAAATTGGACATTTTGTAGACCTACTTTATCGAATTTGACATGAAAATTTTCCAGTTTTTATACAGGGTGGCCAAAAAAATTTTAACGAATATGAAGTTCAGAATATGTGGAAAACTCGAAATTTTTAATTGGAATTCAAATTTTTTTGCAATAATATACCGGGGGTTATATTTAAAATAAGAAAGTTAGTATCAACTTCCGGTATAACCGGAAATACGATGACCTTGAAAATATTTTAGCTTGGTAGGCTCACACCATCACAATTTCAAAAAATTCTTCTAGCGGTTTCTCAGATATCCATCGATGGAGTTCGTGGTATATGTACGGTTAAAGTGTTTACTTGGTTAGTTAGTTACTTTGTATCCTAGCCAAGTAATAGTACATTGTGTAACGAGTGGGGAAAAGTTGCCAATAGCGCCACGCGGACGCAGTTGACGCACGAGCGAAGCGAGTGCGGAAAGCGCCCAAGTGGCGCTATGGCAACTTTTCCGAACGAGTTGCCACATACTATTTTCTATCACAAGTGCGAGTCGTTATGGGACCTAAGCATAGGGGGTTAGGTGCACGGAAAGTGCTAGATAGTACAACAGCGTGATGTTATATTCATAGCGCAACGCTCCAGCGTGATAGAAACATTTTAACCGTACATATATATATTTTAATAGCCACAATTCATTAATGATTAAAATATTGTTTTTGGATAGAAGAAAACGCCAACATAGATATTGGGTTGGATCACTTAAATAGAAAATACAACATTAGTACAGGCATTCTGGCAACAGAATGGTCCAAAATGAACATAAACTGACGGTAAGAATATTCCGTGATAAAAAGGTGTGGATCGTGTTGGTGAATCAGATTATGGTTCGTGCCGCAAAAAAAAGTCAGCGTTAATTTTTTATAAGCAAAAAACAGGTGAAAAAACAGGTTTTATTAATTTTTGATATAGAACTTCTGCATTTAAAACAATGTAATTTCTACAAGATATCGGCGCTAAAAAGCCCTTTAATTTGAATGGTCGCACGTCAAAATCGAATAAATAGTTATTGAGTTATTGCAAAAAAAACACTAAAATAAGCCATTTGTTAATTATTTAATAGCTTTAACAATTTGCAAAATATCAATTTCTACCATTGTGTAAACTAAGCGTTTCGAAGGGATAAAATTACGGTTCAAATTTGGAAGAAAAATATTGAAAACTTTTTATGTAATAGCAATTGTTATTAAAAATGGGACTTTTTTTAAAAAAATTTCTATCGATTGGGGGTGTCGCGCAGCATTCAGCAAGGGCTCGTTCTTTTCGTGAAGTGTTCTAGTTTCATGCAGACCCGTTTACCTGATCATTTTTTCAATTTAAATTGTTTAAATATCGCTCCAAACTAATTGCTATAAATGGCTTAATTAATAAATGGAATAGCTCCCGTTGTAAACGCGATCGTTATTGTTTGGCAATATTTTCTTAAAGCTTGAATTTTTTGACGAATTTACAAAAAAAAAAAAACTTGCTAAGTGCCCTGGGAGCAGAGATAGGATTTAAAAAAAAAAAAAATTCTCACGCCTTTAATTATTAAATTTTTGTGGTGCCGTTTTCAGCAATGTTTAAAGGGAGAATTGAAGTTTCTTAAAAAAAATCGTGATGTTACTAGCATTAAAACAACATCCCTGAATCCACCGCCAAACGCGAGATGAAATTGCGGCTATGGACCGGAGCTCGCGGCTCGGTGGTGGGGGGATCTTCAAATCCAAACCAAGTGAAATTTTTTCCATTTTCTCCGCAACTACTGCTTAGAATTTCATCATTTTTTTTTAATTTGGGGTAGCTCGTCGAATTATTAACTTTTACCTTCACGATTTAA